TCTGGAAGTGATCACTGAAAGTTTGATTCATCTTGATCTATAGAGCAAATTCTTATGAAGATGCCCCAAATACTAAACATTGGGAAAACTCTCATGGTTTATGTGTTAATATTTTAACTTCAGTTAAAGTTCTTTGAATTGTGTACTACCGTTTTGATTTCCTAAAACCTGCCTTCATTCCTATGTACTTGTGGCAGTTTGGCTGTTTTCTACGTAGCCGTCGCAGAACTAGAAGGAAGTCCATCCCAGAAATTGCCCCAAGGCTACATCTTATTGCTGTGTTAGGTCCTCTAGTTTGCTATTAAAGGGATGTTAAGCAACATCGGTACACTCACCGATTTGTGGTGATAGACTTGTGTAGCTAGTGGCTTTGGAGCTTCCCCTGTGGGTTTATTAGATCATGGCTGTGCATCTGCTGACCTGGGCTGTTGTGATTGAAAGGAAGCCAGTATTGGCTTGTATGTCACTAGGAAAAATATGCAGATAAAGTTATTTAGATTCTGAAAGCAGACAGAATAACAGACATGTGTTAGTCTCTGATGGCACCCAATCTGATAAGAATATTTATTTCAGTTGCTTATGGCTGCATAGACAACCTTGCAAGTTGTCAAGCCAGTATTTCTGGATCCTCACCCTTCACACACATAGGTGGAGGACCGGTGGCACACAGGCAAAGTTAGTGTTTTTGGTTGGATTCAATTCAACATATATGTCATACTATGAATTTTGGCCATATTGACTAAGGTATAATTGATCATTCATCTTTCCCAAAGATGCCTGGCACCTGTTTAGTTAGTGGCTTTCCTTTGAACTTCTTGAGCATTCCCCGAGTATCTAGTTTGGCATCTGTCCTAGTTAACAGAATGTATTTTAGAGGATTGAGAGAATAATGACAATTGTTTATAATGCCTGATCGTTTCCTCTAAAGTTGCCATGCATTTTGATAAAACTTCGCCTCTAAAATGCTGTGCGGTACATCTGTCTGTCAGAAGGCAAGTCCATGAACAGCAGGGCATGTGTGTGTGTCTGTGTCTGTCTGCCTCTCTGTCTGTGTGTATATATGCCCTAGCACTTGGAGGTGGGGAAGAGAGCGAGTGAAAATATAAGATAAGGATGAAAGGAAACAACACTGATCTTTCTTATTTCTTAGTACTTTGGAAAAGGGATGCTCAGGCTTATTGGTATCATGAAACAAGAGGCTTACTTCTTATTGATGAATTTCATTTGTAATTAACAGACCATTGGTAAACCACATAAAGTCCCTAGGGCTGGATCAAAATATTTACCATCTGCAGAAGCCATTTGAAATCTCTCTTAAAAATTTAGTAGCCAAAATGAATCAACTTGTGAATAGATATAAACCATTGCTGACTGTCCATTAAAGTTAGCTGTTTCTTCACAGTGCTAAGGGCCAAATTGTAAAAGGGAAATAAATGACTGGTGGCTAGATCCAGTGTGCCACTCTCTTGCAAGTTTCTATTCTGTTGCAGAAGTGAACGATAGCAGTCAAACTTTAAAGATAAACAGTTTTTTGGTCGGGTTCCTGGAGAATAATCATGCTTTTGTACAGTTCTTGAAATAGAGCCTATAGCCTTCCCAAACAAAATAGTCTCTTTCAATATCTTGGAAATAATGACATCATAGGCAGATTGAGCCAGCAATCCATTAATAGTGTCCTTTGTAGACAATTGTCTCAGGGGAGGGACCTGACTGAGTAAATTATCACTGTTTACAAACATAACATAATAGAATCCCCCCCCCTTTCACCTTAACCTCTTTCTGACTATCCCACCTGGGAGACAAATACCTTAACCACAAAGCTGCCTTACAGGTCTTTACCCTTTCTCCATCAGTTTCTGACAGTGTGATTTGAAGGTTTTGCTTTGAAGGTGAGTCAAAGTTAAGAAGAACCTCTTGCACTATTCTTTTGTCACCAAATCAGAATTATCTGCACTCATTAGAAGAAGATGAAGATTGGATGTGCACTGACTGTTAGAGTAATAATGAGCTGAAGAAATACCAGGGTCATTCAACAAAACCAAATTAGAAATGCCTAGGTAAATGGAGTGATGATTTGTTTTATGTTTCACCTCACCAATGTGTGTGGCTGGACAAAAATGCTTCAGTTTTATGTCCATCTCTGTAGAAGATTTATTTTAATCCCTGGAGGAGTTGAATGGAATTTAAAACAATTCTAGTGTCCTATACAGTAGAACAGTATACCTTTATAAGCTGGGTCCTTTGTAGAATGCCTGTGATAGGGGCCACACCGGTCTGTGCTGTTGAAGTCTTTGACAGGAATCTCCAGTGTAACACAGGAGAGTATAATTTGAGTTGTAAAACCCAAATAGCCCTTTTTCCCTAACCTAAAATATGTCTGATCAAAAAAGGTCAGGATAAGCAGGTACCCTGAAAGAAGCAGGTACCTACTTTACTTTTGAGTCTCTGGCCAAAGGGAGTAATTAGGAACAAAACCCACACCTACTTTTCAAGAACAAAGGAGCCTAGTATCTTGAACCCTGACTGGCATAGACTTCCTGGCCTTATGATGCAAGAGCAGCTTCGTTGGCTTCTGTTGTCTCAAATTTAGTCATATGTCATTAGAAAATATGTATCATCTGGAATGTGGTTTCTCTTCTCTCCCTGTGAGACACATTTTTCAGAATCCTGTATTCTAGATATTTCTATTAAATTCTCAGTTATTTTGTAGTAAGTTAGACATGTCATGTCATTATTTTTGCCATGCTAGATTTGGTTTATCTAACTTTATGTAATAATCACCTCATATTGGGCATTATTTTTCAATCAAGAGAAAGAAAACTAATGTCCTAAAAATTAATTTTAGTGCTTTGTTTCTGGTAGCAAATTCTTCTAAGTGACTAAATTAGATTCATAGACCCATCCAGTCCAGAGTAATGTCACTAGTTAAGTCCATCTTAAACTTACCTTTCTCCTGGAAAAACAGAAAATTTAGGAGGACCAAAATCAAAATACAAAAGAGAATACAGACTACTAGCTCTGGTTTCACATTTTAGTTAACATATCTTTTAGTAAGCACCAGTAGTTATGTTTGAATGAACATCATCAGCATTGGTTACTTTCCCATTTGCCTTGTGCCATAATTTCAGCTATATAAGCAAACATGAGACGTGGTAAATTATTGTCACCAGTGACAAAAATTTGGGGGGCTATTTTTGACAAATAGAACAGGAGTCTGAAAAACGTGTGCTATAGAATTGGTCTTAATTTATTAAGATAATGTAAACCATGAAGTGTGAGTGGAAGAAAAGAAGAAATCTCTTGTCCAAATCAAGACAAAGCCAGTCATTGTTAGTTGGCAGGGGCCTGTACAGATGGAAAAAGCCATTGGTTGACATGAGCCTATTCTTGAATATTGGCAGGCTGTATAGATATATTTGAGAACATTTACAATATAGCATTTTTTAAAAAATTACTGATGTAACAGTGGTTTACAACAATGTATATGATTAGGTTTGCACCTCCTCAGATGTATGTTTCAACACCACACTGACCACCAAGATACATGTCCTCCCCCCAGTGTTTCTGGCCCCCCCTTCAACTTCCCCTTCTTGTATTTTAAATTCTACCATCAGGTTTCTAGGATTCCTTTGGGTTTTGGTTTCCTAGAACATGCTATCATTATTTTTTTCCCATATTATGGGGAATAATTTAGAGCTCCTTACTGAAAATAACACACTGTGACCACCAAAGGGTTAAAAAGAATTAAGATTATTTCTCATACAGGTGACAAGGAGCCCTCTGTTTTTGTTGCTGTACTTAGGTTTGTTTACAGTAAATATTGTGGAGTAATGCGACATGCTAAGTTGTGTTTGGAGAGCTCTTATGCTCCGAAAGTAGTGCCAGTTAATACTTGATGAATTTACAGAGATTCTGTTACAGATAGACTTGATTTTCCTTGTATTCAAACTGGAGATACACTTAGAAGCTGTGCTTCATGCCTGATTCACAATAGCAAGTGTCAGGGCCTGATGAAATAGGAAATAGATTAGACTAGGAAAACAGCTGCAAACGGCTCCTTTGCAGGCTCCTTAGGGAATTCATGCCTTTCCAGTGCATGCTTTGTCACCTTCCCAGAGAGAAGGCTGAAAACAAAATATATCCGAACCTATGTACATGATACCGAGGAATAACAAAATCACAAAATTTAGAGCAGAGAAGTTGTTGACATCCAGACATGAAAGAATATTACAATGTCTCTTTAGGAAGTGGTTTTCTCTTTGGAGCTCCTCTCTGCTCCTGGGACAGCTGACCCAGCTTTGTCATCTACAAGCTACCTGAAGATCAGACACTGTTAATGGTATGGAAACTCTGCCGAAGCTGCCAGGTCTACTAGATTGCTTCTCTGTGCGTTCCCATAAAACTGTAGGGAGTGTTTTGTAAATCAGGTAAACACAAGTAAGAGTCACGCCCCTGGTGTCCCGCTGTCACAGCAGTTCCCAGATCATTGTTGTGGGGCCATTGCAAAGCAATAGCCAGACTTCTGGCAGTGACAGACTCCAAACTGGTTACATGTGCTACCTCACCAGGATGAACTCAGCAAAGTAAAACAACAAAGAAAAAACAAAGACACATAGATGCTTTGTCTCTGATGGCAAATTTTTCTCAGCCTCTAAATTGAAAGCATGTACGGCATTTTTACATTCACTGAGACTTGAACATTTTAAAGAGAGATGGTAAACTGCCTAGACAGCAGAAACTAGAGTTTATTGTGAGCAAAGGAAATACTTTGTGTATTTGAGTGTGCATATTAAAAATCCACTATTGCCTTCACTTTTCTCTTTGGGAAAATGCATTGTTGGTCTTTAGCACGGCAGCTCAATTCCCTCTACTGCTCCTCAGTTTTGGTCAGTGCGCACCTGATCCAACATGTGAGACCAATGCTTTTGTTCCTAAGATGTTCATATTTGAGTTCCTTTAGACCTCCCCTTTCTTAAATTCTATTCTTTCCTTTTCTTTAGGAGCTGTGCAGTCAGTTCTAACTGAAAATGTCTGACAGTCTGGACAATGAAGAGAAACCCCCCGCACCCCCACTGAGGATGAATAGTAACAACCGGGATTCTTCTGCACTCAACCACAGCTCCAAACCACTTCCCATGGCCCCTGAAGAGAAGAATAAGAAAGCCAGGCTTCGCTCTATCTTCCCAGGAGGAGGGGATAAAAGTAAAGTATCAGTGGCCGGGCATTGAAAAGGGGCCAATTTATTCTTTCATTGTCTCTTTCTTGGGTAGTCATTTCTTGAGCATTGGTTGTTCAGAGCCTGCCTGACCTTTACATCTACATCTTCGGAGTTTGAATTTGTCAGAGGATGTTTGTTTGACTTACGGTGGGTTTTACAGAAAATACACTTAATGCTGTCTTTATCTTTCACATAAAGTTGAACTCATAGTTTTCAGCCAAGGGAAATCATAGCAACAGTATTGTCTTGACTCTAAAAACAGTAACTTTTTTTTCTGATAACTTGGGAGAGAATTTATAGCAACCCCTTCCTAACTGTGAGTTGTCCTTATTGGAAATTTGAGGATAGGTGGATTTACTTCTGTATACTTTTCAACAACTGTGAAAATTTTGAACTGAGTATACGGGAGTCAGTCCAAGCTGCCACATTATTATCATTCTAATGATATCACTAGTTGAGAAGAAACTTTGCGGTCATGTGTTTCCTCTCTGATTTCTCTGCCTGTTGCCCCCTACAATCAGCCCTGTTTACACTGAGTGTCACGCCAATATAATAGCATTTATCCTTGTGTTGTTCACAATACCATTTGGTGCTTAAATACCATTTGCTGAGTCCTTGTAACACTGGATGATATAAACTATTAAATAATTGTCAGGTTGCATTCATTAGCATAAAAACTTAACCATGGCTTCTGTAAATGTGACTCTTGAGGCAGAAGAGAGTGAAACAAATACAAGAGCACTGGTTACACCAAAAAGTACCAGGAGGGCAAGAAGGGAAATGTCTTTAAAGGAGAAACGGGACATTCTTGATCTGCTTCTTCAAGGCAAAGCAAGTAGCTGTGTGGGTCGCTTGTACGGTATTAACAAAACCACAATTCGATCAATAAGGAAAGCTGAAACACTTATTAGGGCCAGTTTTGCGTCGTGTGCACCTACGTCACTTAAAAGATCCTTCATCCCTCGTGACCCAAAGATGCAAAAGATGGAAATGCTGTTAAACTTCTGGATTGAAGACCAGCAAAAGAATAATGAAGCACTCTCTATGCAAGGGATCTGTGACCGTGCAAGAGGAATTTTTGAAGACATGTTTTCAGATACTGATGTGCGTCCAGAAAAGAATTTCACTGGGAGAAAGGGATGGTTTGAGAAATTTGTGGTTCGCCATGACCTGGAGACCAAGTCCTATGTCACAGTGGTGCCAAAAAAGGAACCAGAACCTGCTGCTCCTGTTTTGTATCCACCACAACTGCAGAAGGTTATTCTAGAAGGAGATTATCTACCTGCACAAATCTTTGGTGCTGTCGAGACCGCCATGCTTTGGAAACCCTTGAATAAACCTACTTGCCCTTTTGAAGAGCAAGAGCCAACTGATGCTGACATGCGATCAGCAAAAACAGAGAGGCTGACATTTCTATTCTGTGCCAACACTTCAGGTCACCTCATAGTGAAACCACTGCTGCTCTATAAGAAATTATGCCCAAACCTCCTCAGGGGAAAAAACCGAGCCAAGTTTCCGGTGTATTGGCGTGCAAACAGAAAAGCCTGGATGACGCCTTCTCTCCTTAAGGAATGGTTTGAACAGTGCTTTCTTGTGGAAGTTCAAGACTACTTGAAAGCAAAAAATCTTGAATTCAAAGTCCTGCTAATTCTTCACAGTCCTTTTGGCACCTCAGATGCATTTGCGAATGCACATCCTAATGTTAAGGTTGTCTTTATAACTAGTCACGTGTCTCATATCCTTGAGCCCTTAGACCAGTGTTTGATCCGGCCATTCAAGAAGATTTATGCGAAACTAATGTACAACTTTGTGGTTCAGAATCTCGCAAAGGTTCCGTTGTCTGAAGATCCTAGTGCATGGGATTCTTACACCATCACTAATGCTGTATTCTTAATAAAAGAGGCATTAAATAGCTTAACAGAGCCTATCATTAACGTGACCTGGGAGAAGATTTGGCTAGAGATGGTGAAATACCTTTCAGCGATCACTTCTGAAGACAAAGATTCTTTGGATCAAGAAGAACCAATGGATGAAGATGAGCATTTGCTACAGGAGCAATCATTGGCAGAAGTTGGATCTGAACCTGTTGACACTCATTCAGGTGATGTGATGCCACTAGAGGATGACTCTCCAGAAGTTTCTACTACCCCAGAGGTGGTTATCATAACTGATGATGAAGATATTTAGGAAACTATGGGAGACAATTAAGTTACAGGAATAAAAAAAAAAAAAAGATTAAAACCTCCCCAAGATATTAATGAAATGTGATAGCCTTAACATCTCAACTCTTAACTATCCCAAGCTTGAATGATTTTGTGTAATGCTATAAAGAGGTGTTTTGAAGCCTTTGAAAAACCACTTTGGACAAAAAGCCTCTTCAGCAGCATGTAAATCATCGACTTTGTCATTATTACTGTTGCTGGACAGCAGAATAGCTGCCTTCGGATAATGCTCAAATGATTAAATTGAACTCTATATAGAGGTGCTAAGAGTCTTTTTACAACACTGTATTGGGAAGAAAGCAACCTCAGAAGAACCAAATTCAACTAGTGCAATTTAAATAGCCTTGCTGGACAGCTGATAAGCTGCCTTCAAACAAAGTTTGAATAATTTAAATTGAGCTCTATATGGAAGTACTAGGGTACCTTCAGAAAAAGATTTGAGAAGATAGAAAACATCTTCAGAAGAGCCAAAATCATTAAGTTGGACCACTTAATTCACTTGCTTGAAGGGCTAATGTCACAAGCAAGTTAGAATTTCAGGATTGGATTTAGGTGACTCCGAGAGAATGGAGATCCATGATCTGAACTAACAGTCTGTCTCTATTCATTTACTCATTGTCACCACCATTTTTCACTGCCATGTTGTACATCCTCATCACCTCTGGAGATGACTTCAGTATTTCAATGGGAATTGTATAGAAACTATTATTTTGACTGCATTAAGCTATGTAAACTCTCATTCATATTATGTGATATACTGTTGTTTTGTCTTACTGCACACAAAAAAATTATGAGAGCTTCAAGAGGTCACTTCCCCTGCCATTTTTCTTTTTAACCTAAAATTATAATTTCCTCAACTGAACTCTCCTAACCTGGAGGGCTTTTCAGGAACCTGACCCTCATCAGAAAGGAGGGGGGTCACTCTTACTATGTTTCCACACCTCAGTGACTGCTTGGCTGACATCACAATCATTTATGAGCTATTGGAAAGAGACTTAGACTTGGGTTCTAGAGACCTGGGTTTGAGTCCAGCTCTGCCGCTGATTACTGTGACTTTGGGCTTGTCACATAGTCTCTCTGAGTCTCGGTTTCATCACCTGTTCAATGAAGATAGTAACACCTGATCTACCTCACAAGATACTTTTGATAACCACATGCAGTTCTAAGTATCAGAGTGCTATTAAAAGTTAACGTAAAAAGTGCTAAGTAATTGTGAGGTATCATTACATTTGTATCATTCTGAACCTTACAAACAAGTGAAATATTAGATCTTAGAAACTTTGTTTCTTTTCATAATAACTTTTTCCTTAACTAGAATTTCTGTCAGTTATAGAATTTTTTTACGGGTTTAAATTGTCCATAATTTCACAAACCAAAGATACGTAATTAGGTTGTTTTGTTTTTTTTTTCCTTCTAGTCCCTTTTTCATCATATAGAATTTTTTCATCAATATCAAAAAGTTGAAAAAACAAACATATAAAAAAGTTAATATCCCATGTATTCCCAAATCCTAGAAATAATGTTACCATTTTGGTGGATTTCTTTCCAGATATGTTTATGGCTACATACACACATTCACACACACACACATTATACATACATACATACATATTACATATATATAATATATATATATATATATATATATAGCTTGTATCCCACTTTTTCACTCACCATTTTCATCTTGAATATTTCCCTACATTTAACAAAGGTTTTCAGAATAAATATCATTTTTGATGGTTTATAATATTTCATCATATAGTGGCTTCATGGTTTATTTACTCATTTTCTTTGGTGGATATTTGGGGTCTTTCCCAAATTTTTGTCATAAATTATGTTTATTTCTTTAGTTAAATGAAAATAACTTGCTTAAGTGACAGCAGAGGTTTATTTGATTTAAGAAGTCTAAGATCTACATTTCATTGACAAAATGGAACTTCAAGAGACAGGTAGAAGAAAAAATAAGGGTAGATGTAATTTCAAGATGGATGATCCCTCTTTGCTGGAGATTATTCCAGAAGGTGATCTGTGTAAGAGCAAATTAGGAGAGACAATTTGCTGCCATTGTGTGGAACTTCACCATAGAAAACTTTCTAGAATTTAGACCAGGAAAAGTACACCCTGAAGAGGTTTAATGTTATGTTATCGAGCCTTGGAAGTATGAAGCTGTTCTTGTTGGCTACTAGAAAGCTTGGAGCCGGATGTGTGGCCCATGCATAGCCTGGTAAGGGGACTTAATGGTATGTATGTACTTCGTATTTGCTTTCTTCCAGGCTCCATTTTGTTTTTATTCTTTTGTTTTTTTTAACTTTTTAGTTTTTTATCTCCTTTGAATTTGTGATCTTATATTGTATTTTGTGTATTCTTGTAAGCCATCTGATGAGCCATTTTGGAACAAGGTGGGGAATAAATACATGAATGAAAAAAAATACATGAATAAATACATGAGCAAATAAACCAATAAGGCAAAGGCAATGAGGCAAATGAATCAGCCAGGACTCTGAATTGGCACAGTGCCTCTAAAATTAACCAAAATTAAGGACTTGAAACTTGGAAGAACATGTGGGAAAGAAGCAGGTGAGGCTGCATTTGGAGGGGCCACGTTCTGTGTGACATCTGTGTCTTCTAAAGCGTACTTATGTGTTGTGTGTCTTGTGCTGCACTTGAGCATTAGGTGTGTTTCAGAGGACATGCAATGCTTTGTGAAAGGCTGTGTCTTTAGAGATCACGGTTCGTGTGTATTTTGTTTGTGGGTAATCCAG